CCGATGGTGGCTGGATTTTTGACATCAGCTAGATAGCTACGAGTAGGTCGAATTCAGCCTCTGTATGGAGTAGAATTCTAACAAACGGTTGCTGTGATCGGTAGCTTTCCGTGGTTTCTTCGATCAACATCAGGCGAACTCCGGAACAGTACCTTAACAAACGGGCCACGGACCGCACTCTTTCCAACTCCATCTTTGTCCTATCCTCACCCCTTACTTACACTAACATGGACTACACTACCATTCATGCAGAGAGACTGGTCTGGAGTTTAGGGCTAGTCCCGGCTGCGGCGATGTCCCGGTGGTGGGAGATATCTGGTTGGGGAAACCCCACTAGCCGACGTAGAGGTTGACGCCGGACCTCGCCATCATCGAGCAGCATCACCGCCACCTCGCGAGGAAAACCATTCGCTACACTTATGGCAACAATGACCTTAGCAGTTTATGCACCCGAAATTACTAATCAACCAGGCATTTGCCCCTGAGTTTCAGGCAACTCCTTAAGCACAGGTGTTCGGCACGAGACGTTCTGGCGCAGACAAGATGATTTCAAGAACCTTTAGAACATCTCTCTATTATTATGTGATCATAGTTCCCGGATCCACAATTTCGAGTTTATACTTTAAAAAATTGATTTTTAGACAAAATTCACAAGAAGCTATTTGAAGTTGTTTCTGGTTACAAATTCATTATAAATGTACATCTGTAATGTACACGAAATAATTTTCATGAAAATATCCCTTGAGCTTTGTAATTCTGTGTTGTGTCGTATCTTACATTGATCGTAACTCAAATTTCTGTTACGAATATGTCTGTATCTCTTCGCATGTGTGTTAACAATATTTTGTACTGGTCTAATGTACCTTAATCCTGTCGTGTATATGATGGTACAGCTGAAAAGAACCTTAAATATTTAAGTACCAAAATTCTAGATTGTATTGCTGAGGTGAATTAATTTTTTTTCTCCATTTACTACGATATATGAACGAAACGTAAACATGTACGTCAGTAGACACATGAAGAGATGTGTTATCAAGAGTTGCATTAATTATAGCTTAGTTTTAAGCTGCCAATTAAGGGTACAATTTGTTCCAAAACAAGTCGTTAACTTTAGATTTAATAAGAAGATTTACCTATTATGTTATCTTTTTGTCTGAGAATTCGTGTTATTTAATTAACGCCTTAATCTTCATTCATTTAGCTTTTACGTTACTTTCAAAACAAACGGGACCAATTTGTAGCTAATTTCCAAGAAAAAGTGTCTTCTTCCGCCAGATTATCGATTGATCAAAATGATGTGACTGTCTGTTCTGCAAGCAAGTTCAATTTAGCTAAAGACCATTTGAGGGTTAAGTTCTACCTCATATAGATTTCTCGGAAGTTGATGGAAGTGCGAAAAGGCTATACGATAAACGATTCCGTAAGGAAGATTGGTATTTGGCATTATGTAATAATATTGTAATTACCTGTAGAAAATGTTAGGTATTAGATTAAGTCATCAAACATTTGCGTGTGCGTTAACAAAAACAGTTATAATTATAAAGTTATAATTCCCAGTAATTAATGGGCCTTAATAAATTAAAAGAATTACTGATGCGATAACAAACGTCTAAGTAAAATAACGCAGGATTCAGTAAATTCTGTAAATATTTTTATTGGAAGAAAAGCTGATTTATTTAGTAACTAAATAATAATCATTTTATTCTTTTAGACGTAGTACATTTTTTGAGAATGAAATTCTTTCTTCAAATTTTTCTCATGTATAGAGCAATAACCGCTTAAAAGAATGACGCAGGCCTCATTTTCGTTAAACTCTCCGTATTTTTGACAGCTACAAAAAATCTTTATATTTAAAAACTACGAAATGAAAGTAAGTGAATTCTACCATAGACCTGAGAAGTTTAAAAGGACAGGGGAGGGGAAATATATGGGTTCTTCTGGGCCTCCTTCTGTATTAAACTTTATTTACATATGGAATATTTATCTGGGAAATAAATAAAATAATATAAGAGTCATATAATTATAACTTTAATAACACAATGAATAAATACTATTGATACGAGTAAAATGTTGAAACATTCACAGAACCTCCATATGGTTTGCAGAGGCTCATCCCCAAATGTCGTGTATCATTTCCCCAAATTATCAGCTTCAAAAGCTAACATCAGGAATATATCATATTTACGGAATTAAATTTGTATTATGCAACGCTACGGGACCTCTTTCAAAATTTTTTTTCAGGTGGCACCGCCCCCTGCTCCTCGTGCGCGTGCCTTTGAATACTACAGATGAGAGCAGCTGACTGCTTCAACTCTTCTCTAGACAGCGACGGAATTCGACCTAGCTATCAAGCTAGTGTTGTAAATCTGTCTCCACTGAAACTCGAGTCCTAGGAACTGTTCAGAGCCGCCGCAGTGGTAACAGTTCTTACTCAGAGAGCAAGTAAAAACGTTATATGAAGATCAGTGATTTAAGTAACGTAGTAATATTTTTTCGAGACTTTCTATATAACTGTGGATACGCTGAAGGCAGTGAACGACAAACGGTGGTCGATTTTTTGTTGATTGTTTAATGACTCCGGGTGCGTCAACTGCTAATGTCATTAATCGCGTATGTGTAATGAATTTTTTATCGGGAGGGGTGGCGGTTATCTTCCCCCGATGGATGGTGAGGCACCGACCTGATGTCGGCGTTTACCCCAACCAGGTATCTCCCACCAGCATGTCACCTCAGTTGAGACAAGCTCTAAGTTCCGGACTGGTCTCTCGACATGGGCGGGAGTGTAGTGCATGTAAGTATGTGTGTGCAAATAAGGGGTGAGGATAGAACAAGGAAGAGGAAGGAAAGACCGCGCGCGGCTCATTTGGTCCGATTGTTAATGTACTGCTCCAGCATTCACCTGGTACACCACAAACAACGGAAAACTGCGGTTGGTAATCCCCAACGAAGATGTCGGGGACCATGCAGGTAAGATCAGCTATTTTGTTACTTTTTCAGCATTTATGGATGGAAATTAATACTTACTTCCACTATTTATTGATTAGAAAATTATTCTCTGCGAAAATTATACAGCCGCTCACACGGCTGGCAACTTCCATCTTGACTTCCGTACTCACACCCTACGGTCTCTCGGTATGAGGCACTGCAGAAACATCGGTTGAACCGTTGGTAGCTAAAGTGGTGTAAGTCAGATTATGAAAAGTTCGATAAGGAGGTGGCTTTAACATTGTTCCACCACAGGCTAAAATATTGTGAATCGAACTTCAATATTTCTTCGCTAGAGGCCAGCATAATGCAAACGTAGCCAGCGAGTTGCTCTTTCCGCTGCAGGAAATTGTAGTGTATGTCACAGGTGGGGCGATACAACAACTTCCAGGGGCTCCCAAGAAATAGCTTGTCGTTTATCTATACCCATTACAGAAGAGGCTCCGCGGGAAAAGCAGTTAATTGCAGTTAGTAGAACTGCACTGTGATACGTGCTCAGCAATACGCGCACAGTAAGACGTGTATCGCAACTTTAATATTGCAGTCACTTGGATGAAAATCACGACAAAGCCTATAATATAAAAAATATTGACTACACATTTCTTGTATAAGCGCTCTCATTTATGAAAAATTACTCCGATTTGGAAAATATAGTGCAAGCTAGTGAACATAAAATGAATTGTGTTTCATCTGGGGGATATTACACTATCCGTTCAGCTCGAAAGAAGCAGGTACCTAAAAATTCTAAGCAGATTTTAAGTCTTCTTGAAAAAGCAATTGTAAAAAAAGATTAATAACGCAGTAACTAAAGTAAATTGACTGCAAAAACAAACCTTTTGCAATTTTCGAAAAATCAGGGTTTTCAGCGAATATGAGACCTGCACCTGAAAAATTCATGTTGTACTATCCGGTACTAACCAGGTACAATCGATTGCGTATGGTTTCACATTTTTTTTGCCGTTGTGTGACGAGAATGTTGGTAGAGGTCGGGTGCGACTCCTGCCATCTCATTGACATGGCCGTAACTTCATTAATTTTATGATACAAACAAAACTTCAGGTGGAACTGGAATGATGGTAGCGGTGCTAGTGTGAAGTTGGCACTATCACAATAGAAAGTGCTGCATCTTGTAAACGACTTTGATAAAAACGAATGTTGCAAACGGGTGTGAACCAGGTACAAACGAATCGTAATGATAAGGAATGATAAAGGAAAAATATTTATTTTTATGAACTTAAAAAGTGAAAGCTTTGTGTTAAAACTACGAAAATATTTATTACCGATATAAAAACCAGCACCCACGATCGAGAGGTCTGCAAGCTAATTGTGACTTCATTCTATTTTTCACTCTTCACATTTCGCCTGTGCAATCTGAGAAATTTCGGAGATGCTGAGTATTACTGTTAGAGTTAGTCTAGGTGTTATGACAGTATATTATCGCTTGGTGTGTTATACCATCGGTAGTGTTTGAAATGGTCCTCAGACGATTTGACAGATCATGGAACAGACTTATTCCACTAAATCGGGGAAGTCTCTCAGTAACAGGTGATGAGAAACCAACCGCTGCATTTAAAACTGGAGTCTTTCTCCTTATGTACAGAAACTCCAAAGTATTTAACTTAAAAATACTCCATATATTTATTTTATTCATATAAAATTTAGCAAAATATGTAATTTCATCGATATTTCTTCTGACGAAAATGTTTATTTTTATGCACCTTAATTAAACTATTTATTTGTAGGTGATATGCAATTTGGTATATGGAAACTAAGGGGGGGGGGCTACTTGAAATTTCACTAACTCAATGACGAACGTTCAGGATTAAGGGGAAATATGTATTTACCTCAAAGTCAACGCCCTATTGTAGACATCGTGCCTTATGAAAGAAAATGTTCATTTTCATATAATATCATTAAAAGAAAAATATACTGACGTAAACTGGCGGAGTTCCGATTCTTCCATTTTCTGCTTTATGTTCCTTTATCTAAACACTCTAGAATGCATTCTTTTCCAGTGCGGAACATCGCCCTCTGGAGGGAAGGACGATCTTTTCGCTCCCTGTGGCGGGTTTGCGCGTGAGCCCGCGGTGGCGCCCGGGGGCGGCGGCGGGGCCTGGACGGTGGCGCGTCCACGCGGCGGGCGCGGGCGGCAGCGCGCGGGCGCGAGGAGGGGAGCGGCGCGGTGGCGCGTGCGGCGGCGTTCGGGCGCGCGAAGCAGGCGAGCCGGCGGCAGGCGCGCGGAGACAGCGGCGACGACGGGCGGCGTGGCGGCGCGGTTGGGGGCGGCGGCGGCGGCAGCGCGCGCTCGGGCAATGCGGAGCGCGGCGCGCGGCGGCGTCGGCGGCGTCCGCCCGCGCTGGCTGCTGACACGGAAAGCGTCGCGACGCCCGAGGCGTCCGGCGGAAGATGGAACCTCGGAGGCGGAGGCGGCGGTCGGGGGCGGCGGAGACGAGGCCGATCAGTTGCCGCGGAGGGCGGCCGTGTGGTGGGCCGAAGGCGGTGGCGCCGGCTGCGGCGGCGCCCTCAGCGGTCGGGCGGACGTGGTGAGCCTAAAGCTAAGCGGCGCGGGGGTGGCGACGGCGTGGTTGCGAAGGGGGCGGGCGGGGCGGGCCCGGGCAACGGCCCCGGGCGAGCACGTGGCGGAAGCGGCGGGGAGCTCGTGCGCAACGTGGTCTCCGGCAGGGCGGGAGGGGGCGGGACGGGCACGGGGTGGCGGCGGCGATGTGCCCCTTCTGCAGGGGTGGCTTCAACTGGAGACAGCGGCGCGGGGGGTGGGCTGCAGGACCTTGAACAAATGGTGTGAATGAATGTTGTGCAAAATATTCCACTATGCGCAGCGCCCCGATGTTGCAGAATGGACGTAAGATTGTTGATACAAAAGATACATTTCATTGATTGGTTATTTAATCATTCCGGGCACATTAACTACGAGGGTAATTTGTCCCGTACGTGTAATGCATGTTTTTGCTCGGGAGGTGACAGTGATCGGTCCATCGCTGAATGGTGAGACCCGGTGCCGACCTACCATCGACTAGCGCTGTTTACCCCTACCAGTTTCTCCCACCAGCGTGCAAACCACCCCAACCGGGACAAGCTCGTGGCTCCTGACAGGTCTCTCGGCATGTGTGGTAATGTAGTGCATGTTAGTGTAAGAGTGGGTGTAAGGAGGTGAGGATAGATCGAGGAAGAGGGAAGTGTGATCGCGCGCGATTCGTTTGTTAGGATACTGCTCCGGCATTCACCTGGAATTGATCGGAGAAACCACGGGAAAGTACCGATCAGAGCAGCCGGTCGCTAGAATTCTCCTTCAGACAGCGACTGAATTCGACCTAAAATAAGAAGCTAGTGCCGAAAATTCTGTCACCGTCGGGACTCGAACCTAGTACCTCCCGATCAAGGTGCAGTAACAACAGTTGATGCTCTGAAACATCTCTCCCGGTAAGAGATACGAGAAATGACGTCCTATATTTATGTTCTTTTACTTACGGGACTTGCTATCTACAGGATTGTGGTCTTTCTTTGTTTCTCTCCTTATTTTAATGGCGAATTATTATTGATCATAGTTTTCATAAAATAATTAAATAAGTGCTCCTAATAACGCGTCGACAAATAAGGCTGTGAATTTATATACACTAATAGACATTGTAAGATTTCTCGGTTTAAATCCAACAAGATTTATTTCTTGACTTACTTCCTGTGATAGATGTTATTTTGTATGTGTTGTTACCCAACTGAAATTGCGTGTCTGTTGCTAGAAGCGTTTATCGCTGGTATTTTCCTTCAAGCGATGAAGGTGATAAACTTTCAAGTTGGTGATTTCACATGTGCTCAACTTTTTGCCAGTGATATTGCGTTCTTATGTGAATTGTGTTTACAGAAAAGTAAAAAATTCAGGGTTTTTTTCATTCAAACTGGTTTAAAATTGTGCTTACAAAAACCTTTCGAAAAGTCTTCAGAACCTAGGAGCATGACTATTGGCGAATTCCAAGTGAACCATGTAATCTATACAAGTAATCCGGAAAATTTACTTTTCCGGTAATGTTTTAAATATCGGTGGAGTAATTTTGTTCAAGAGAGAAGCTGATTTTAAGAATGATATTTCTTAGATGTAAGTGGAATAAGGAAAACCACTGTTCAGACCACACTACAGCAAATATTTGATTTTAATGTAGGCATAAATATGAATGGATTGAAAGTCAACCACTGGTCAAGGTAAAATGATACAATTCATTCACAAACATAACATACATTAACTATTATACCCATCTGATATCTAAATGTTGTAGTTGACCTCCTATCGTATTGCTCGTATTCTAGTAATTTTCTTTAAAGAAATCATTACAATTTTCCATACCATTTTGTTTTTATTTTTCAATGGCGTTTAATTGAGAGGTTTTTTAACGTGCTGCCTTTTAGTAATCTGTTGATGACATACAGCGCAAAAATAATTTCCAGCCATTATTAATATATTTAATGGTGATGTGCAATTAAACCTTATTCCGCATAATTTTTTATGTTCATAAATTAATACTTGATATTCAACAATATTGTACCAATGCAATTTGCGAAGAACGCTGGACACTTTTTTTGCGGCAGAATGCGGAACTTGTGGCGCGTGCGGTTCAGACACGTGACTGATTCCGAGAAGTCATGAAAGAAGACGACACCTCATGTGCCAACGTTGGCCATTGAAAGAAAACAGGTGTTTGCGACGCGTTTATAATGACACCTGAATGCGTTTGAAGTAAATGAAGATATGAAATAATATTTATTAAACCCTTTCATCAAAGTAGACATTAAGAAAAAACTATTCTGAAAACTGAAAAATGTTGCACGCCGAAAAATTGTGCTTTGTGAAATAAATTGTTCACGTTTTTTACTGGCACACTACCTGTTAGAAAAAAAATCTCTTAGAACAATTTTCATTACCCCAGGGCCAGCAGTTCACAGGTAGTTCGCGATGAATCTTTCGTGACTGCATGAATGACATTTCACTTTTTTCCTGAATAGTCGTCAATCTCCTATCTTCACTTCATGTTCTTTACTAATGACAGTACCTTTTTCTAAAACCATAATTTTAGTTGGCGCTGATTATTAAAAAAGGGCTCACCACAAAATACCAAGGGGACGTTAATGATAAAAAAATAAGAAACGAATACAAAAAGAAAAATAGAGAAATCTCAACTGGTAAATTTCGCTCATCGTTGTTTCAAAAGGAGTTGAATTCCTGAGAAGATATTATTTTACATCCAAATACCCACTTAGTAGAGGGTCCCTTATCTCCCCCTTACGTCGTTTTACTTTCATTGAAAATACGGGGGTTTTACGCCAACGGAATTGATACAAAATCATGTTGTATTTTGTTTAAAACTACATTAAAACGACTACATATTGTGGTAAAAGTCATAAATGACATGTTTCGTGGTGCTTAAATGTTCTATTTGAGCCATTTATTGCTGTGTTGCGTGTTGAGGGAATTTATTTTAGTTTGCGCAAAATGATGCGTTTAAATACTTTCATGAAATGATTACTAGTTGTATCAAAATCATTAATATTAAAACTTGTGAATGATATAAAATCTTTCATATTGAACAATTTATTGTCACTGTGTAGCGAAGGGAACTTCACAAATTAGGAACTTTGAAATATAGAAAATTTACAATTTTAATTTTGACTAGTTTGTTATTGATGAATTTCAAGCAATGAGTGTTTCTCTGGAACTAAATTCCTACTTTGCTGATTTCTTGCTTTACTGAATCAAAGATATATTTCATTGACTTTCGGATTACATAAGTTCAGAAAATAATTAACAAAATTATGCTTTCTATCTAGGGGTATAAGTATATTATGGAATGGAACTAATATTACTTATGTTACATTATTGGTAATAGAGGACACCGAATTATGATACTTGCATCATATGTCTTATTACGACAATAATATCTGTTTAGTAAAGTCTGACATTAGAAAATCAAAGAGTATAAAATGTATTAAATTAGAAATGGTATTTAAGTGACTGTTAGAATCAAAGGCCACGTCAAATCGCACACTCCCAAACACCCAAACATCACTATTTTTTTAGCGACTTGAAACTTTTTTATGAGTTCTAGGGTTGAAAGTAGGTGACACGTATTTTTCTCTTTTTTTCTAATCCTATTCCTTTCAGAAAAATAACATTTACTTTTTCCGAAGAATCATGAATGCGCTAATGTAAAAGAATTTTTCGCACAAATACCGGCTTATTCACAAAAATAAAATTACTTAAATTCATAAAACTTCACTTATAAAGATTAACTTTCAGGTGCTGTAAAAATAATTTTTGTAAACGTATTATTAAAATATTCAAAGTTGATTTTAATTTTTAAAATGCAAATTTTTACTTTGGAATGATACTTAAATTATCTGTAAAAAATACTCATTTATTTCTACTCTAAGTTTGTGTAGATCTGTCAAATTTCACACACATAAATAACATTATAAAAATAGTTTATTCACCGTCGCACGTGGGCAGCCCGCTGTCCGCCGGACTCGCTACTCGGGGCGTCAATGACACGACGCATCGTGACGTCCAAACATAATGCAACTCTGAGACTTATGTCATGATATGAATCGCAGAAACACACATACGGTCTGAAATGGAAGTCTTCTGCCGAAATGCGACTATTAAGTTTATTTATAAACAACTGACGCTGATAGTTAGGGTCTGCCTGAAACAGAACAGCCTTCTTTCTCAGATATACAGAGTCAGTTGTGTAAACAGAGGAATCCGCGAACAATTGCGTTGTTCTGTGAAGTTGGTAGCCACTTATAGATTTACAATAATATCAATACTCTTGTTATTTGCATTTTTAAATACGAAAATCTATAATTGCAGAAGAAGTGTACGTTTAGGTTCTTCAGCATTCCTGACAAGTTGAAAATTGACTGCTTGCTGTAAAAAAAGTTATTGAAAAAACTAGTTTTTAAAATTCCTTCTCATGGTGAGTCAAGCGACGTTTTTTCAAGAAAGTGAGAATCGTCCATACTTATAAATGTCGCAAGTATGTTGGGCAGTGAGAATGATTAATAACGTGCATGACTTGGTCACCCTAACGTATCACCTTATACAAATAATAAAGAA